GCGGCCTGGGTCGAGCCATCAGGCGTCGAGTGCGGGTCATGGTACTAGCGGTGGTGGAGCGCGGTCGCACAAGGGTCTGGTTGTAGTAGAAGTGGGGAGCGTGAAATCGTCCAGCCTAGCAGTGGATTCCTGTTCTTGCAGAAAATCCCATGTCGTATGTAGTGGCCGGTGACCCAAACGTGAAATAAGAATGAACCAGCCTAAGCAGAATACGAGTCTACCGATTATCAGACTTTTTGATTGATGTGTCGAGTGAGCGCTAGCGATTATCTAATCGAGGATCGAGTGGCCAAATTGGCGGATAAGCTGGATTGAGGAGCCCGAGCTAAGCCTTGCGTACTGACTAATAAGCGATAACTGAATAGCAACTGAATTGCCACGTGCGGACATACTGGACGGACAGTGTGCTCCTCTAGCCAATCAGAGGCTCTGCCCGCAATGCATGGAGCGGCTCGTTGTGCTGCAGCACTTTATCCCCCCCGCTCGCGCAGGATCAAGGGCCACGACTCTTAAACTCCCCCTTTATACCCCCCTTTGCTCTCTTTTCGCTTTTCCTCGTATTTTGCGCACATTAGTGCCCCAGATTGCGACGATGAGGTCCACTTCGGAACGGCATCGTCAGTATGGGGACGCTGATAGCGGCCCTTCAGGCAGCGGCACTATTAGTCGTCCCAATCCAGACCAGGCGAGCACCCTCCCGCGGCAAAAACCTTCTTCACAGCATCATGTAAGGGGGTTTAACCGTCTGCTGCACTATATATTCCCAGATAAGCAACGCAAAGCTGCCGCTAAAGCTGCTGCCCGACTACAACCACCAACGACCTCATCTCAGCCCTCGCTAGTATCCACCCCTCCTACACCACCACCACGCTCTTCGACCCGACGCGCACGGCCTGCTACTGCTGAGGCTGCTGCTGCCACTCCATCCACTTCTACTACAACCAGAACCGCAAGTAGACCGCGCACAACGTCTGCTGTTAATTCTATGCCCCACCACCATTCTCATTCTACCCACCACCACGAGCCACCCCTCGACATCTCGGTGCACAACGATCCTGTCATCTTTCGCGGCACGGGCATCGACGTCGAACCTGCTACCATTCGAGGGACCGTCATCTTGACCTTGGCTGAGGCTACAGAACTTCGAGAGGTCATTATTCGATGCATTGGAAAGGCTCGGGTCTCTGTCCTGCAAAACGGGTAAGTGGCCATTCCGGCTGTCTCGCCTCTTCGAGCAACCCGGCACTGTCCAATGTGGCTGAGCGCTCACACCAATTCTTTTTTTTTTTTTGTTCCTTCCGATTCGGGTTTTCACAGGATATGGTCACAACCACAAACTACCATTCTCTATCTACGGGAAACCGAACTCCTCGAGGGAGACAAGTCGCACCCGCATACCCTCAAGGCAGGACGTCATGAGTTCCCGTTCTCCTTCGAGCTCGAAGGCACATCAGCTGCATCCCTCGCTGCAAACTTCGGCATGGCCGCCATCGAATACAAACTGCGCGCGACCGCTATCCGTACAGCCTCGTTCTCTACAAACTTTGTCAGCACAAAGGATATTACGGTCGTCCGGTCCTTTAGCAATGAGGTGAGTAGATCGAAATGCTCGATTCAAACCATGCTCCAATTTCTCCCTGGATTTTCCGCACCGAGTCACTGATGCATTATTTCGTCATGCTTGGTAATAATGTAGGCACTCGAATTTCAACAAACGCTCGAAATTGAGAACACATGGCCCGAGAAAATTCAATACGGCGTGGTGAGTAAGCCGTCCACCCCAAATATCTGCAGAAGACTCACCCATTCATTCTTCTTATCTTCCTTTCTGAATAGATTCTACCGCACAAAGCTTGGGCGGCCGGCGATCGCGTATCGGCCATATTGAAATTCACGCCGCTGGCTAAAGGTGTTACCGTCGCAAGCGTGAAAATGGGGTTGCAGGAAAAAGTCAGAACAATCTACAAGAACGCTTCTCATGAAGAAATTCGTGTAGTTTGTTCGAAAAAAGAGACCCTGAAACGAGGGAGGCCGTCACGACACCGCTCCCCTTCGCCACCGGTCGATTTACCCGATCAGGACGCTCAACAGCAGCCACAGAGACGGAACAACAACAACCTGTCTAGTGCAAATGCCACCGGTCATACCTCATTTTTCCGTCGTGTTGGATCGCGGGTTCAATCGAGAGAAAATTTACTCGGCATATTTCGGACCAGGACCGGTGGTGAAGATAACACGACGCCACCTAGCACTGATACTCCTGTTACATCACCACCTAGGTCTCCTGTGGCGGCTGATAGTTCATCGGAACGATCCGCCTCGCCATTGGGGGACGAGTCCGAAGATGTCGAGGTGATTATGCGCATGAGGATCCCTGCCGAGGCCACCCCTTCCCATTCTATTGGTCCCATTTTTGTCACTCATCGAATTAAATGGTGAGTCTTGTGTTTATTTTACCTAGCGCTGATTTTTAACCGTGGCTGACATTTGTTTTTTCCTTTCCCTTTTTCTCAGGGACGTGCTTTTGCGTAATCACGATGGTCATTATAGCGAACTCCGGTGCTCGTTGCCGATACACCTCTTGTCCAACGAGGTTCTAGAAGAGACCCTCGCGGCCACAAACGCCACGCGCACCGCGCTGTTAGGCGAGAGCCATGGTGTTCAGGTTCAAGAAGTGATTCTTCCCGCTTATCACGATCACATTCGAGACCGAGGCACGTTCATATGTCTTTCCCAAAATATCAGCGTGCTAACGTTGTGATTAATTATAGTCGCCAATGCAGAATTACATACCCATGTGCTCGCAACCAATCCTCTGAACATGGCCGCGGTGGCTTCTGCTGCCACGACGCCGGAGGACGAACTGCCCGAGTTGCTTGGCCTGACTTCCTCTTCCTATGGACCGTCTTCTACTCTGGCCGATCAGTACCATGGCGGGCGCTCAGCGACGACAAGTACTGTTCCTCGGGTGTCCTCTATGCCCGACGCTTCTGATCGAGGCCGCCAGCGCGATCACGCCGTCTTGAGAGGATTAGCAGAGGCAGAGTCGAGTGAATTGTTCTTATCGCTGGGCCGTGTCCCTGAGGCCGTCCACTCCCAACACCAACAGCACCAGCAACAAGTCCAAGGGCAAGGGCAAGGTTCAGGGAGCCAACCACCCTCTCAGTCTTCGAGCAGGGCATCGAGTCCTGAACGGTCCGAAGGGCGGAACTCGCGGCACACGTTTGGAATTCGACCGTTTACCGCTTTCAGGCATAGGAGTAAGAGCAAGGGACGAACTTCCACTACGGGCACGCCCTCTTCGTCTGCTTCGAACTCGCGGCCTGGGTCGAGCCATCAGGCGTCGAGTGCGGGTCATGGTACTAGCGGTGGTGGAGCGCGGTCGCACAAGGGTCACAAGTTTTCGCTCTCGAGGTCATCGAGTGGCCCGTCTGCACCTCCTTCACCAGAACCTGTTCCTCCCCTCCCTCTCCCCTATGCACGCTCTTCCAATACCAACTCGCCCACGTCGACGTGGACGACTTCCAATTCGGCTGCGACCACGTCGAGCGATTATTATGATACGGTCCCCGACTATGCCTTTGCAGCGCGTGGATTCCTGGGTGGTGGAATTACACCCTTGTCTGCCCTCCGTGGACTGCCGTCGTACAATGAAGCACAACGGTCGCGTGCAAGTTCGCCTCTGGGACCTACATCGACGGTGACGTCGTATAACTCGAGTAACTCGAGTGGGTCAAGGCGACGGTCGCTGATCATGCCAGGTCGTCGTCGCTCAACCGAGTCTGGTGAACGCGAACGTGAACCAGTTGTTCCAGAGACGACAGAAGTTACTGCATCCCCTTCAACATCATCATCTTAATTATTGATTCGGTATACCCGATATCTACACACTCCTTGGCTTTCTCTGTTTCTTTTCTGACCCATCACTGTTTCTTTTCTGATCCATCATGACCCCCTCTTACTCTCCCTTAAATTCATTCCCCTGATCGTTGGATACTACGATATAGATCTTAATAGGAACTCGTCTATCATAGGTGGAGATTTTCCTATTTATTCCTGTTTTCTCTCTCCCACAACTCACTAGACTCGAATTGCATAGAATTTATAGCTGTTTACAAACCCTTTTGTATGCAAGTTTATTGCACAAATGAAAATCTTTGTTATGTACTTGTGACCCTCATAAGAAGATGAATTGTTCGAATATTTGGAAAGGCGCGGTGGGATCTACAGGCTCATCAGATGGCACGAGTCGGCATGCAAGCAGTTTATAGGTATTTACGAGTAACAAAAGAAACCAATCTTTGCTATAGAAAATATTTTACCATATTAGTAATGTTTATATCAAAAACAAGTTTAGAGTGCGCCGCGGCGCTACCAATAGTGTGGATTGAGGGTTGACCGCCGACCAAGATCTGCATTTGCCACCAGACATGAACGTTATTCAAGTAAATCGCCCATTTCATCCATAAACGTAAAGATCACTCATATATTCCTCTAGAGCACCATCCTTCGTAAGCTAGAGCAGAATGCTTCAGTGAGTTGCAGCTAGGATAAGGCGCGAGTCGCCCCTCCGCGCATCGTGGCTTACGATGAATTGCGGGGGGGGGCACGCGCAGTCGCTGGATAACAAGCTAACTCGTTCCTTTCGTTAGGTACTGAAAGAGAGCAAGTTCAAGGAGCATGGAAAGATCACTCCTGGTACGCGTTTAGATTTATCTTATGGCCATCGCACAACCCGCATTCTCGTGCCTCTTTCTTGATGGGGGTGCGGCGCCTATACCGACGCGCATTATCCCTTCGTGTTGAAGCTGTTATGTGGATACTGATCAATCTGTATCAGAGGAATTTGTGGTTGCTGGTGACTTTTTGGTCTACAAGTTTCCCCTCTGGTCTTGGTCAGTACTTTCTCCTTCCTCCTTGGCGTAATTCTGTGTACGGGGAGGTTGACATTTGGCTGATCCCATTGTGCGTGATACTTGTAGGCAAAAGGGAGACGCGAAGCCTCGTGAACATTTGCCGGCTGACAAACAGTATCTGCTCTTGCAAGGAGGTGAGCTTCCTCTATCACGATGGAACCCCTTCAACGGGGGATGCATGAGACATGCGTTTACAAACGTACTTTATGATAGCACCATGCCCTCGAAGAGCAACCGCTCTAGTCTATACGGATGCCGAGGAAGATGCAGAACGGCTCGTGTCGATGGAGGGTGGCAAAGAGGACGAGTGGGTACAGACTCATGCTGGTAGAAGTGAGTATGGAGCATGATCTATCGTCAATTTCACGGCTCTATCTGACACCTTTTGCTTAGCCGCACCAACGTCGCATCCGGATCATATCGAAGATATTCCAGATGATGATGCTCTTGCTGCTGATTTGCAGCACATGAACATCAAAGCTGGTGACCATATATCCCTGCCGAAGACGAGATCCCTGATATGGAAGAAGATGATCTGGAAGATGCTATGAACAGCAACATCGTGCAGCAATCAAAGCCTGCGTATGTCCATTCTCGATGACTAGTGCTTTTTGCTCACAAAAGTCATGACTAGGCCGGCGGAAGGTACCAATAGCAATATCCAGAAGACTCGAAAGTACGACGCTATGATTACATATGACAAATATTATCAAACTCCCCGTCTTTGGTTGCTGGGATATGACGAGGTATGGTAATTTAACGAATGGCACCAGCACCAGACGCTAACGATGGTGACTAGGATGGCACACCCCTAAAGCCAAAGCAAGTCTTTGAGGACATTTCCGCAGATCATGCGAACAAGACGGTCACCATCGAGCCATTCCCGCACTCTACATCATTAACCCTTGCGTCGGTTCACCCGTGCAAGCATTCAGAGGTCATGAAGAAGGTGATCGAACGAATGAATGCTGGAATGATAGAGGAGCAACGCAAATCGAGCAAGTCACCCTCTACCGCGACCGCTAGTACAAGCACAAGCACAAGTTCAGGCGGAACAAAGAAGTGGATCGGAGGTGCTCTTAGGCGAGTCACCGGTGGAGGCACATCCTCTGCTGCCGAGAAGAGCCCTACACCGACTGAAGCAGAGAACGAGGAAGGCATGAAGGTCGATTGGTACCTTGTGGTCTTCCTCAAGTTCTTGTCCTCTATCGTACCAACTATCGAACTCGACTCTACAAGCGCATTCTAGAACTATAATTCTTTCCTTTCTCATGACTCTTGTTGGACCATGCATTTCTTGTTCACTCACATACTGAGTTATATCAAGAAAGATATCTTTCCTAGTCCTATCATGCATCTTGTTATAGGGATGTAAATACTCGCACGAAACCAATGGAATATGCACATGATATACTTGACAAAAAAAGTCCTAGATAATTGTCGCTTGCATTCTCAGTGAATCAGTTCTCCAAGTGTATGGACGACATGCTTTCAAAGCGTCTGAGAGTTGAGCTCCTCCAACGTTTGCAACATCTTCGCTTTTTTAGCAGCCTTCTCAGCTTTTCGGGCTTTCTTTTCTGCTTTACTCCGCTCCTTGAAGCTCATCTTTTCAACACCATCAATCAACTCTTTCCCACTCTCGTCATCGGCTTCGCGTTTTCTCTTTTTGGAAGATTTAGACTGCTCGAGGGGCTCCCTATCGTCTGCCGATTGCCCGTTTGGTAGATTGTGGCCTTCTGAATCCACCGCATCCATTGAATCGGCCTTTTCCTTCGACTTCTTCTTTTTCTTCT